TACTGACTGTTTAGTGGAAGCTGAAATGTGTGTGATGATGAAATTCAATCACATGACAATCACAAATCCAATGTGTCATTATGGTTAAATATTTAGAATGTTAATGTAATGCACTTGTATTATTGTTATTAATTATTAATACAAATCCTATTTTTTAAATTAATTAATAATTATAGATGGAACAATAAATACCAACCTAACGTGTCAAGATAGAACAATTAGGTTGGCTTGTCAATTCAACGTGTCAAAATTGAGCAATTCTAGAGCTTCCAAAATGTGCCACCTGTCGATCAACTCACATGGGTATTCAGCTTTATATATATTAGAGTTTGATGGTTTATAATTCTATTATTCAACCACCATTGGGTGACCGTTTTATGATCTCATAAGTTCGAGTCCCTCAGATACTAATAGGGATGATCACTGAAGCTTTTTTTGCGACTGATAAATCTAGGTCTCAGAAGATTAGCTAAGATGTGCGCAAACTGACTTGAATACCTGGTGATTTAAAAAAAAGAAAAAAAATTCTATTATTCAATCTCATGTGATAGATAGAAATATTTTTCAAATTGGTTGGATTACATTACTGATTAGAAGATGACCACCACTCTTAATAAGAAATTAAAACGTTGATTTAAACTTCAATTTAGAAATTTCATCACACATGTCACTTTTTCTAACAAATAAGTTAAACACATCATTCATGCAGATGTAGTCAATTTTATAACATTATTGAAGCAATGTATATTAAAATTTTGATTAAATTATGGGTAGCCTAGTTATCTATCCACCAACATTAAAATGCTTCAAAATTAGTCATTTTAGAAGGAACTCTTTTCATCATTATAGAACAAAACAACTCTTTAGCCCCACACAATGACCTTAATTGATTGGGATTTTTTTTTTTTTTAAATAATGAGTTAGTTTAAGTGTACCTCAACAAATCTCTCAGGGCTTTATAACTATCGGTTATGTAAGAACTCTTAGGGATGTTAAAAAAAAAATACAAAAACCGAACTGAACCGAAAAACCGGTTAACCAAAAAAACAGTTCAATTATGGTTCAAAAAATTCAAAAAACCAGATTTTTGGTTTGGTTTTCAATTTGGATAAAAATGAAAATTGGTTAACCGAAACCGGTTTACTAAAAAAAAAAATATTATATTATATTAAATAAAAAAATATATATTATATTATATTACATAAAAAAATATATTATATATTAAAATAAAAATAATAATAATCGTAATCACTAAATTCACTAAATAATATATATTATATATGTATGAATGTTTAATTTTAATTTTGATATGTATTGTTTATGTTTACAATTTAATTTAGGAAAGATTAAAAAAAAAAAATTTTATCCAATAAAAAGGGAAAAACTGGTTTAAAACCGGTTAACCAGTTTTTTTAAAGAGGTTAACCGGTTTTTGGTTAACCGAAAAACCGATTTTCCCCCCAAAACTATTCAGTTTTGGTTCAGGAATTTTCTTGAATTGAAAAACTGGTTCGGTTCAAGAAAGAGGTTAACCAATTCGGTTAACCACTTTTGAAAACTCCTAAGAACTCCAATGACTATCCTTATCAACAATCGAAGAGAAACTCGAACTCAATACCTCTTAAATAATATATTCAAAAACCTTTATTGAACCACTTGGTCACTCAAAATTAGTTGATCGAAAGTTTCTCATATTCTTTACTTATAAATTTATAATCTTTATTTATTTTTTTCCTTAACCAGAATTAAATCCACTCGACCTTATAAAATATAAAATAAGTTTTTGTTAAAAGTTTATCATAAGATGGTAATGATTTTTTAGTTTTTTGGCTCAAAATGGAAAGATTATTTTGACCTGTATTATCCCAAACTTATAATTCACTCAATCTTTAGTTCAATTTTATTTTTTAAATAATAATAATAATAATTTCTTTATTCTTTTGGCAAGAAAAAAAGACCCGAGAATGGGGTAGGGCCCATGTGAACACGTGGAAGTGTGAATAAGCTAATAATTGCGCACAACACAAAGTCGATAATTTGAACTGTCATGCAATGCAAGGAGAGGGCATCAAATGGTCAAAAAGAAGTCCCCTCAATATTCTTTATTTTATTTGATTTTTCAAAATAGGGACCTATTTTTCAACATTTTCAATGCTCCACATTTCTGTTCTTTGAAATTTTTGTCCAATAATGATAATAAATTCATTCCAATGCCATTTTATTTTTTATTTATTGGAAAAAAAGAGAGATAGTTGATGCTTCGTTTTCTCTATTAAAAAATAATGATGACCTTTGAAATTTGTATCCAAGTACAATAATTCCATCCTAAATTTGCACATTTCAAATATTAAAGATTTATAGTTTTTATTAATTACGGTTAGGTAGTTGAATGATTTAACAAAAACTTTTGGATATATTATTTAAGAGGTATGAATTTAAGTTTTTTCTCATTTGCTAACAGGAGTAGTCACTGAAATTCTTACCTGATTAATAATTCTAAGATCTCGAAGGATTAGTTGAGATATATGTAAGCTAACTCAAACACATCTGATTATAAAAAAAAAATATATATATATTGTTTTTACCGTAGAAACAAACTAAGAAAATGGTGAAAATAATAAAATGACGAAGAAAAATATAACTAGAATTAAGAAATTTTTTGAAATAATCAAAGAGTGTTTAAAATTTTCATAATGTTTTAAAAACCTCAATTGATAGGTAAAATTTTCATAAAACTACTTAAATTCGTGAATTAAATAAGGTCGAACGACTTATGCATACCCAAGGTTTGTCAAAACGATAGTTAGTACCCAAAAAGTTTTGAAACGACAAATAGGTACCTTCCGTCATGTTCTGTTAGTGATTTTCATTTGATAATAGTGAAAAGACTAAAATGCCCTTAAAAGTTTAATATTTTAGATTTTTATAAATTTAAAAATTTCTAAAAAACCCCCTAGATTTACTAATTTGACTAAATACCCCAATATATAAAAATTTTATAAAATAACAAAAACACCCCCGCCACCTGCAGTGCCAGATTCCGGCCACCACCGCCGGAATCTGGCCGAAAAATTACGTTACGACACAGACCCATCGGATCTGTGTCATAACGCGTAGATCTTTCATTTTCCGGCAAGATCCGTGGCTGATCTGGCCGGAAAAGGCCAGATCTACGGCTAGATCTGGCCGTCGAGATCGGAAACTTGCCGAAAAATTGTGTTACGACACAGACCCATCGGATCTGTGTCGTAACACGTCGATCTGGCATTTTCTGGCCAGATCTGGCCGTCGAGGCCACAAAAGGCCAGATCAGTGTGTTACGACACAGATCTGACGGGTCTTTGTCGTAACACAATTTTTCGGCCAGATTTCGGCGGTGGTGGCCGGAATCTGGCCTTTTTTGGCCAGATCCGTGGCGGATCTGGCAGGAAAAGGCTAGATCAGTGTGTTACGACACAGATCCGACGGGTCTTTGTCGTAACACAATTTTCCGGCCAGATTCTGGCGGTGGTGGCCGGAATCTGGCACTGTGGGTGACGGGGGTGTATTTGTTATTTTATAAAATTTTTATATATTGGGGTATTTAGTCAAATTAGCAAACCTAGGGGATTTTTTAAAAATTTTTAAATTTATAAAAAACTAAAAAATTAAACTTTCAAGGGCATTTGAGTCTTTTCACTATTATCTAATGAAAATCACTAACAAAATATGACGAAAGATACTCATTTATCGTTTTAAAACTTTTTGAATATCAACTTATCGTTTCGACAAACGTTGGATATGTATAAGTCGTTCTCCCATTAAATAATTATGTTATACAAGATACCAAATTTGAGACACATTTATTTGATAAATCGAATACTCATTGGGCCACTAAAAAAGATTACGGAAGAAATTAAAAAAAGAAAAAGATATTTGGGGAGGACAGCATTAGTTTTGACGAATCAGATTTTCTGGAGACAAAACTTTCTCACTCACACTTGAGTTCGTAACTCCGTACTCTCTCTATCAATGTACCACATGGCTCCATGAGCGTATACCATTGGGTAAGCTAAATTACCGAAAACACCCTAACTGAATAATACCTGTTCGGCCACAAATAGAGCGAGTGTCATAGTTATCTACTCCATCGTTCGTGGCTACCTTTTTTTAAGGATATATGCTAATGCTGCTAAAGGATTCGATATTAATGTAGGTGATTTAATCCCACGCGCGAGTAGTGGCAGTGGTGGCCATCCTCCAATCAAGCGGGAGAAAAGCGAAGTTTCACATCAGAGATTCAGAGGGGTTGCTGTCACGTACGTGAAAAGCCCAATTGAAGCGCACTATTTCTTGTTGGGTCTGTGAAACGTGACGCGCTCTCCGGGCTCGACGTAACACGACCGCCTAATGTCCAGCTTTTTCTCAGTGTAGGTAACATGGAATCAGAAATATTTCACTCACGTAACCAGTCACTCGCTACTCGCTAGGTCACTCATCTCAATTCTCAAGTCAATTTTCCTTTTTTTTTTTTTTTTTTTTTTAAGAATTGGATTTATTATTAGTATTAATTTATATTATAAAAAGCTGTTAAAATATTTTTTAATGTAACGTTTGAGTTTGATTGAAATAAATGACTTAACGTTTCACTGAAATAAATGCCTCCCCTAAATATTTGTTGACGCTCTGTATAATTTTTAATTAAAAATTCCTATAAAATATAAATTAACCAAAGTTTTTAAATTAAGTCATGGAGGGTCAATATAATTTATTTTCATTTATCAAGTTTTTGAATTCCACCAAACACATGCATGAAGTGAGGGTTTAATTAAAAGGAATACAAAATTTCTAATTGTCTGTATTGAAATTTGACTATTTACACCTGGATTAATTCATTCAATATAGAAAATGATATAACACCGTATCTATTGCTAATAATCAAAATATTCAATTGTTTCATTTTTTTTTACTCTCTTTCTCCTTTTCCTAATTTAGTTAAAGATTAGTTTCTCCTCTCTCTTTCTCTCTCCCCCACACTCTTTCTCTTCCAATATATTAAAAGCTTTTTTTTCTCTCTAAACAAACACTCACACTGCACACACTCTCTGAAACTCTCATTCTCCAAAACGCAACACACTCTTCATACTTCTCTTTCTCTCCATGAAGAACTCACGCTGAACCAAAACCAAACACAGACCCTTCTCACATTCTAATATACAATCATCCTCTTTTCATTCATTTACTCTTCACCTCAAAACTCGAAACAGAACATATGGAGAAGAAACAAGGCTTCTTTTCGGCTCTCAAAGACGAGGTGGTTCGCGGCCTTTCGCCGTCTCGGTCGCGGTCGCGGTCCGCCAGCCCGGCCCGAGCCATGTCGCCCATGTCGTCGCTGCTCCGGAGGAGGAAACACCAGAGTTCGTCTCACCACTACGTGGCGAATCCGGAGCAGTTGATTTCGAGATCCGGAAGTCTGAGGCCTGTCGTGGGGGAGGCTCTGGCTCCGTTAATGGAAGGCCCCGATCCGGATGGAGGGGAAGTCGGGGATTCAAAGCGGGTCGGGTCGGGTTTGGGGCAGTGGGTTAAGGGGCAGTTGTCGAGGACGCCGTCTGTTACTGCGATGGCTTATAAGAGGTCTGATCTGAGGCTGTTGCTTGGTGTCATGGGCGCACCGTTGGCCCCGGTGCACGTTAGCAATGACCCTTTGCCTCACTTGAGCATCAAAGACACTCCCATTGTTAGCTCCTTTCTCTTTTTGTTTTTAAGTTCATTTTGTCATTTTCATTTTCATTTTTTTTTTCTTTTTAAATAAAAATTATGTTTTTATTTCGTTCTGGAATTTTTTTTTTTTTTTTTTTAAATTATCTATAATGGATACTTTCCGTTCTTTTAGTTGGCTGGTTGATCTATGGAGTTTTTATTATTGTTAACAAATTTGTTTTCTGTTTGGTTAGTCAGAATATAGAAGCAAATTCCAACCCAATAAAGGGAAATTCTTATACGTAGAACTTCATGTGCTTTAGAAGAAGACAAGTGATATGCTGTTCTTCATGTGAATTGAACCATTTTTTCTAATTTTACTCACTTTGTATTTTAGTAAACGCCACTTTAAATTTATCTATAGCGACTTTTTAACTTTGTGTTTATGGTGGGACTGCAGGAAACTTCTTCAGCTCAGTACATATTGCAGCAGTACACCGCGGCCTCCGGTGGGCAGAAGTTACAAAACTCTATTCGAAATGCGTATGCGATGGGGAAGCTTAGAATGGTAGCTTCAGAGTTCGAAACTGCTACTAGGACGGTTAAGAATCGGAACACCTCTAGATGTGCGGAGTCTGGTGGATTCGTGCTCTGGCAGATGAATCCAGACATGTGGTATGTTGAACTTGCTGTTGGAGGCAGTAAGGTCCACGCTGGCTGCAATGGCAAGCTCGTTTGGAGGCACACACCTTGGCTTGGTGCTCACACTGCCAAAGGACCTGTTAGACCACTGCGTCGTGCACTTCAGGTGAAATTTTGTGTCTTGATTTTCAAGATTTGAGTAGTTAAGTAGGCTATGTTTGCCATTTGCTTATTGGTTGATCTGTTTCAGGGTCTTGATCCAAGAACAACAGCTAGTATGTTTGCTGAAGCTAAGTGTATTGGAGAGAAGAGGATTAATGGTGAGGATTGCTTCATTCTCAAGCGTTGTGCAGATCCTCAAACTCTGAAGGCCAGGAGTGAAGGTCCTGCAGAGATCATTCGTCATGTGTTATTTGGCTACTTCAGTCAAAAGACTGGACTTCTTGTTCACATGGAGGATTCCCATCTGACCCGCATCCAATCCAGTGGTGGTGATGCAGTTTACTGGGAGACCACAATCAATTCATTCCTCGATGATTACAGACCAGTCGAAGGGATTATGATTGCACATTCTGGCCGTTCTGTGGTAACACTTTTTAGATTTGGAGAGGTAGCAATGAGCCATACTAAAACAAAGATGGAAGAAGCCTGGACTATAGAAGAGGTTGCATTTAATGTTCCAGGTCTCTCATTAGATTGTTTTATCCCCCCAGCTGACCTAAGGTCAGGGTCCATCAGTGAGGCCTGTGAGCTGCCTCATGATGAAAGAGGAAAGAGCGCAATTGCATTAGCAGCGCATCGAGCTAAAGTTGCCGCACTGGAGAAAGCACATGATGGTAGCACTGATAACATGATATGGAAGATGGAAGTATAACAAAGCGTAGGATCAAATCAGGGCAATTGTTTATATTGGTAGCTGGTGTTAATCTACTAACCGACCAATTAGAAGTTACAGAGTAGAAGTTAAGTCAGATTTTTGGACTTCTGAATATGCCTCTGTTAATCTGTAAATAGAGTGTAATCACTATTCACAGGTTCTCTTTGGGCCTGGATGGATCTATATACTCTATGCAGAATCCAACTACGGAGTTGGAGCTCAGTTTTCCATTTAGGGATAGAGCAAACGGAGGTTAATTTTTAGTTTACCTTCTATGCTTAAAGGAAGGTGTTGGCGAAGCTGTGGTATAGCAAATCCATTGACCTTTCTTTGTTCTACTAATTCTCTTGCTTAAACAATACGGCAGTGGCAGTGAAAAGGAAAAACTGTTACTGGCTGGCATAATTTCAAGACTAAAAATTTGTCTAGTTTGTTAATTCTTCTTAATCTTTTATGGGTTGTTTTTCTCTTCGTGTGGTTGTTTTTGGGTTTGGGAAAGAATAGGGATTTTTGCTGGATATGTAGAGGGGAAGTGGGCAAGGTAAACGGGAAGATGATATATATATTTTTTTCTTGTTAGACGTTTGTTCAACTTCTCTGCTGACAAAAAGATGTAAACAAGTGACATTGTTCCATCAGATGATATTGAAACGAATATAGTGATCAGCATTTTTCCTTTTTGACTTGTCAAATGGTGTACGTTTTTAACCTTTTAAATGTAGAAGAAAATCTTTTGATGATAGGTGGAGAGATTTTCCTTCAAATTTACTTTTACTTTTTTCATGACAAAATGTACATGGTGTTAGTTTATTATTAATAAATTTGTTCTAGGTGGGTCAAATGTGAACTGCAATCTTTTTGAATGCTGATATTATTATGTCATATTGGCTATCTTTATTTATGTGAACACGAATCTTTTATATGGTGGTTGCCAGCATCTAGGATTGGTGTTTGAAAGTTCAGTAGCAGAGCCCCTTTGGGACCGATCTTTTTCTCCACTTTGCCCCTTCTCCCCAAGTGGGATGAAGACTTGGAAATACAGTATTTTCCATTGAAAGAATTTTATTAAAAAAAAAAAAAAAATCCAATCTCTGACCAGACCTGAATTAAACCCATCTCCACAAACCAAAGTGCATCGTTTATGGGGAAGGCTTGTGTGTGAAATATCATTACAGCATGGCACGGGATAAAAGTCTTTCAAACCCCATGTGAATGTGATTTCTTCTTCGTCTTTATTTTGTTATATTTTTTTACCTGCTTTTGCAGACTGTGTCTTTCTCTTTCACTACTTTAACCCACTGGGGTTGGGTTATGGGATTTTTCTTTAGCTTCATTTATTAAAGATTTATTTGTTGGGGAAGGTTCCACCTCATGATGATGTTTGTGAATGGTCAAATTCTCCATTGATGAGGGTTTGTATTTCTTCTCTTTTTGGGGGCAAAAACCTGTATGCTCATATGGGATAAGGGCTCATACAAAGTACCATTAAAAATTCTGCCTGCCTTACTCTGATGCACCAACCTCTCTAATAAAAGCCCTGCATTTGAGATCAAATTTACACATAATTTTAACAGTTTTCACATGCTCCTTTGCCCCCTTTCCCACTTAGTGTAACTTATTGCAGGCAGCAGCAGCTGGTTACAATTTTAATTACCCCATTCTTTTCTTCTCTAAGCAGTCACCTAATCAGGATCTTTAAGTGTCAGTAATTGTTTATTACCTTAATTCAGAAGTTTAATTGATAATTCTTGACAGAATTCATCAATGATGACTGTGACCTCCATTGTTACGTGGGGATTCAGAACTCTTATGATTATAAATAATCATCAACATAAACAAATCTTTTACATAATAAATTAAGTTTAATAATGTAAGTAACCTCACACATGGTAAGGTTTGAAAATTTGAGTTGATTGTACACCTATAACAATCTAGTATTGTATAGCCTCACATGAAAGTCATGTGAAGTCCAATTAAACACTTCCTATAGGATACTAATCATAATTGGCTTTTGCTTACCCTTCAAATGCTTATGTACAAAGGCAAGACCATTAAATTACTATATATATTAACAAATATTTTAATTACAAATTTCATAAATAAATAAATAGAAGTAATAACCATTTTTCGGCTAACTTAGCCTCTTCTGTGTCTCTCGAGACTAATAAAGTGTAGTACAAAAATATTTATCTATCAACTATTGTTTTATCAAATGTGTCTTTCAGTCTAATTTTAGGTGTTGATTCATTGTCTGTGGATGAACCTTACAAAAGAACCTTTGAGTTTTTGAGGCATTGTATTCTCAGCAATATTTATGTTACTCAAATCAACATTTTCGCCCTAAGGTGAAACACTCTCGTACTTATACATTTTTACAACAAAATTAAACAATAGTATTATTTATACAAAGATCGGGTTTCAAACTAATACGAACAATCATGAAATAGGTGAAACCATACTCAATTTATATGGATGATTCATAATGATTGTGAATATTCAACCATTTAACAACTTTCAGTTGATTGAAGGTAAGAATCCAATGCAATTTGGCAATGTCTCTTTCCACCATTTAAGAGCAACAAAATCTTATTTCATGAAAGCAACAGCGGCGTTTGTGTTTGTTTATTTTTTAGTGAGGAAAGAAAATGAATTTAAAGGAAAGAGCTTTAAATTGTCACCAAATCTTCAGTAACCCACAACAGAGGAGAGAACCATTTTTCATTACAAATTTTCTCAAATTGGGGAGCTTTAACCAAACACAAACCACCCTCTTCATTGCTTCTTTCACAATCACAAACATTTCTCATAAACCAAAAATCTTCTTTCTTTGCCCAATCGCCAAGTAGTAAGTCATTTAAGTCCAATAATTAACAAGTTAATTATGACAGTCGTTACTCTTTACTATTTACAGGACACAAATTAGGCAATTTATTTTAATGTGGTATGGAAGATCTAAGCTACTCAATTGGCAGGTTTTTTTTTAATATAAATATAAAAAGAATCTTTGTATAAGATCGAATAAAAAAAAATTGTTTATATTCAACCCATGATTTTTTTTTTTTTGTTTTTAATCATCGAGAGTGTCTGAGCCAGCTTGCGCGCACCTCAACTATAATTTCTTGGGACCTTGGAATTGTCAGCTAAGTAAAAGTTATAGTGATCACCTCTATTAGTACTTGGGAGGACTTGAACTTAGGAGTTCATGAAACTTTATTTTACTCTTTTACTATTAGACACCAGGTGGTGATTAACCCGTGTTGTTTCCTTTAGTAAATCCCCCTCGTCGAGTATTAGAAATAACATTCTATCTTTTCGTCACTTTTTCATTAAGGTTTTTGTTTATTGTTTAGTACATTTTACACATAATTTGTTAAAATAAAATCTAAAACCCTGACTAAATAATGAAGGCAAGGGTTAAATTATCATTCAGAGAAAGCTTAGTCTCTAAAAAAATTATTTGGAAATTTTAATATAAAATTAATATTTTGATATTCAAATTGATTAATTAGGGTACCCATTACATGCAAGATAGTGAAAAGCAAGTGTTTGAGGGTTAGAATAATTGAAGGATTAATTAAAGTATTAAATTTTCTACTCTTATCAAAATAATTGTATTTTTTGTGGCTCCAAGTTTGCTCATGGGAAAAAGAATTTAATTGTCTTTATTTAATAAATATAAGCCCCACCTTCCTTCCGCTTTCCTAGGATGACACTGTTAGATTCTAAGTTGACTTTATTCTGTATTTTCTAATTTTTAAACTCTGTTTGCTTAGCTATTTTTCTTACCAAACACTTCCCCCTCCGTTTTTTAAAGGAGAAATAATTTAAAATATAACAATTTCCCCCCTACTCTCATGTGCTAAGAGAAGGCTAATAAGATAACAATCTAAGGCAAAATTGCCATTAAAAATATTATTAAATTTTGATTTTTTATTAAAAAAAAATCAAATCAAGCAACTTGAATATAACAAAACCAATCATCATTAGATGACTAGACAATAAAAGAGCAAAATGAGGTTCCACGAGTTTTTGAATTTGAGTTCTCTCAAGCATTAATAGGGGTAACCACTATGACTCTTACCCAAAGGTCCAAAGCACTAATTAAGGTACACGCTGGTCCATACCCTCACAAAGCTTAACAAGTTCATGGCTAAATCAAGCGGGGAAATGTATCATATTGAGCCAGCCACATTAATTTTGAATTGGTAACAAGTGTAAATAATAAAATAAGGAGATAGGGTTAATGCCTAAATGATTGGGTTAGAATGTAGTGTAAAAATAAATATATGGAATGATGGTAATTGGTTTGACTTTTTGATCCCCATTTGTCAGACTGAAATAGTTTAATTAACTTAAACATAACACAGTAGCAGGATTTAGGAGGGGTTGTAAAATTGGAAGACAAGTTGAGCAGTCCAAAAATATAATTAGATTAGGATATAAATTATAAAGATTGGAATATAAAAAAAGTGTCGGCAAGGGGCGTTTGGTTTGGTGATGTTGAAGATGAAGAATGGATGAATGTCAAATGGATTTAATGCAAAAGCACTGAATTGATGCTTTGCATTTATGAAGGTCACCAATTCACAAGGCCAGTCTAGAACAGGGACTAACCACAAGATAATTTTGAACGTGGGTGTGCGTTTTTTTTATTGGTTTTACAATCCATTATGGAACGATAATTCTCTCTATCTTTGTGTGCACACGTTTGTGTCGGTCACTTTTATTTATATTCATACATTTATGTGTTAATTTAAGTTAAAAACACTTATTTGAAAACTATCGTATACCTCCTTACTCAGAGGTTTTTTTTTTTTTTTTTTTTTTTTGGAGTGTTTTTCCTCTATTTTGAGTAGGTTTTTGAAATCCTATCTAAAATACATATTTATTTTTCTAAAAATCTAATTCTACTCTATTCAATTATTTTAAAATTTTTAGGTTTGTTATTAAAAACACTCCAACAAAAAAAAAAAAATTTAGAAATTGACAAAAACACCATATCCACCCACATTTGCCAGATTTGGCCACCACCGTCAGAAGGGTTTGAAATCTGGTGTAATGGCTCACTATCGAATAATTCTGGTCGATGTGCGCCGATCTAAAGCTTCAGTGGTCACCCCTAACCTATTAGTGTTTGGGAGGACTTGAACTCAGGAGCTCATGAAACCTCTTTATGCTCTTTTACCATTAGGTCACCAAATGGTGATTAACCCCTGATGTTTCCTTTAGTAAATTTCCCTCCTCGAGTATTAGAAATAACAATTTATGGCTCCATTTGTTTCATTATTTTCACCCTATCCTACCCTATTATCCTATCCAATCCTATCAAAATACACATTTGGTTAAATATTCCCAATTCAATTCAAAATCCAATCCTATTCTATTCAACTCAAAACATTTAACAGTTACTTTTCTCAATAAAAGTTTATAAATTGACAAAAACACCTTCATCCACCCAACTATTGCTGACAGCCGACTACCACTGTTGGACGATGGCTGAAAGTTGCCAGAATAGCGCACAACCAACTGGATTTAGCCGGTCATGCATCGAGATGGCTGTTTCTAGCTAGATCTTGGCCATCAACGATGGCTAGAAATCTAGCCGTCAACGACGGCCAAGATATGGCCAAATGACAGCCAAGATCTGTGGTAGTATATCTAGCTGTTTTTTACTAGATC